GATATGATAAAAAATTTTCACTGGCATATACATGTCTACAGAGACTCAACAGATTACAATACTCTATTACATGTAGATCTCGGTTAACCATTCATTCAGCAACTATTCAAAGGTACAATGAGAAGACTTATAGCCAGTCTTCAATTGCAGCTGTCTCAGCACCCCTGCAATTATGCAATCACAATTTGGATACTTGGCAACCAATTCATAATTATGACAGTCATAGCATTCTGTAGTCATGTGATCATCATTTGTGATCTTCATTGCTTTCTTCCAACAAGCAAAGTCAATGTGGAAGCCAGCAACGGGTTGCAAATAGCAATCATATGATTTCATATGTAACAACCACAACTGGAACTGCCTTTGTAAGATGTCATGGTCATGTGATATCACATTTTACAACTAAATTGTTTGGTGACAAAGTTCCCAGTCCAAATTACGATTGTTAACCAAGGATTATTTGCACATGGCATACTGGTGGTGATGATTCCAAAGAAACACAAATATATCCAAGACAGTCCAAACCCAATTACTAGTGGTCAGAGCCAACAGATTACCATTATCCAATAATAATTATTATAGATGCCATTTGCTACACACCAGAAAAATGAGGAGATATATATGGGCGAATGGATGGCATGTTAAGTTTGATAGATAAATAAATAAATACAGGTAGTCCTTGATTTATGACCACATTGAGTCCAAAATTTCTGCTGTTAAGCAAGACAGTAGTTTTATTAAGTGAGTTTTGCCCCCTTTTACAATCTTTCTTGTCAGATTGTTAAGTAAATCCCTGCAGTTTTTAAATTTGTAACATGGGCATTAGGTGAATCTGGCTTCCCCATTGACTATACTTGTCAGAAAGTCACAAAAGGTGATCACATAAATACATGCCAGTTGCCAAGCATTTGAATTTTGATCACGTGACCACTGGGATGCTGCAATGGTTGTAAGTGTGAAAAACAGTCATAAGTCACGTTTTTCAGTCCCATTGTAATTTCAGACGGTCATTAAACAAATGTTTGTAAGTCAAGAATTACCTGTAAATAAATAAATACATGCAACAGCATGATGCGTATCAGAAAGAGGGAGGACTTTCATTGTGATACAACCCTACTTTCATCATTCTGCCCTTCCCTCTTTCCCACTGTGGAGGTGCTGCTGTATACATGTACGTATATCATTTCTCAGTTGTAGTTAAAAAAAACCCCTACATTAGCTAAGTTGTGAAAATTCTTGTGATGCGGAATTTTGTTAATTCATTACAGCAGTTTGGGGTAGTGGTTAAGGCACCAGGCTAGAAATCAAGAAACTGAAAGTTCTAGCTCAACTTTGGGCCTTTGGGCTTGTCATTCTCTTTCAGTCCAATTTACCTTACAAGGTTGGTGTGGGGGAACAAAAGGAATATTAGATACTTTAGTTGCCCGAAGTTATTTATCAAGGTGGTCAAGGCACTACATAAATAATGAAATAATTTCTTTAAAAACAGAACAAAATGAATTTTGTTTTAATCAAGCTAATAAAGACATATAGTAATGAGGAGCATCAAGGCTAATAGATTATGATCTAATTTGGTAACCTGACATTTTGCCAGCTTCGTCAGTGTTGAAAGTCTTCTTGGTAGCTCACCAGCAACTGAGCAGGAACCAACTTGAGTTCTTGCATTTTTAAATAGGACTATTTAGACCATGTCATTGGATTTTTGGAAAGTCTGCATTGATATAGTAATAAGGACAATTTTCAGTTTAATAACTAACCTATGAAAATTTGATTGAGTCTCTATTATTACATACAGTAAAACAACTTCTTTGTGTGTACTATGTACATTGGTATCTTAATGTTGTGCACTCCTGCTGCTTATTGGTACTGTGGCTTAGCTGGCCAACAACAGTACAGGTACAAGCCTTTAACTAACAGACTCTCCATCCTACTTCACTTGTAAACTATTTTTGCCTTTTAACACTAGATTCTAGTTACATGCCAAAATTCTATTTCTTCGCATTAAGCTTCACAGTTCAGTACTATCTTCTGGTATGAAAATCTGGGCACAATATTCCAACTCTGTCTCTTTGGTTTCATCATTAAGTTCCATGGTATCTTTCAATTAAAAGTAATATTTAAAAAGCCCAAAATTGAATAAATGTCCCCGCTTCACTCCTATACATTGTAGGTTTGTTTTTTTTTACACATGCAGGGTTTTTTTACACATGCACACTTCACATTACCTCCATTTTGCTTCTGCTAGGCTCAAAAAACTTAAAGATGGACATAAAGCCTTCTGTAGTAGGCTGGTGTGCTGTGGTCCATGGATCACGAAAAGTTGGATACAACTTAGTGACCAAACAACAACAATACCTGAGGAAAAAAATATTATTTCCAAAATTTGTCTGTCCTCTGAAATCTGAAATTTTAAATGCTTGCCACAGTCATGTTTCCATCTTTCCTCTTCTTATAACATCTTCCAATGCTTTCATATCAAAGTTTTGGAATTCCCAACTCTTAACTCTCAGTAATCAGTTCTTCAATTTACTTACATTAATATTCACACATTAACAGTGTTAAAATCAGTAGGATAAAGGCAGGTTGCCAACTATTTTAAAATAACAATAGAAACAGCTTTCCATGCCATCCTGTTATAATATAGTTCCCTCTTTTCTAGCAAAATGAACTTGCTAAATGCAGTGATTTATGAAGATGATGTGAAATGCCATCTGTCTCTGCTGTTGTATTTTCACTTAATGTTGTGTTTGTTTAGATCAACTATATATACACTTCTCAAAATGTTGATATAATATTCTTCAGTGATATAATATTCTTCAGAATGGTCTATAGTTTGGAAAGTAGAAAATCCCACCATATCTTTAACCCATTGTAATTATTACCACATTTTTCATAAGTAATTTAATTTGTCACTATGCATTATATGCCATTACTATTTTTACCTACCATATTTAATCCAACTAGGGTGGAATAGATAAGCAATTCATACCATAGTTCAAAACTCGTCTTAGAATTAAACTATGCTTCAAGGTTGCAGAATAAATGAATATCTTAAATATCTTAAACTCCAAAATCTGGCTTGGTACCTCAGAAACATCTTAAGATTCCCTGAACAGAAATCACAAAAATACATCTGGCAGCTCTGTAGGTAAACAGAAAGCTTCCTTGCATTAGTTGTTATACAGCCTATAATGTAGCTGAAAAATAAACCCAATCACTCAGACAATATGGTTTTAAAAGACGGAAAGAATGGTGTCACTTTTTTAAAATACACTTCCAGAAAATACTGAATCCTCAATGCTTTCACAGTTGTTTCTAAGATAACAAGACACAATGTCTTTGATTTGAATAAATAAAACGGAATATTAAAGAAAGTTTTTATCATAGAAAAAATATTTAGGAACAGCATCAGAGTTATGCAGAAATTAAGGCCAGCTTGATTTATGAACTTGGGAACTGTAAACTATCATTTAAGCTGTATCATGCAAACTAACAATCTCAACTCAGAATGCATCAGAATTTTGTTAATCTAACCAAAATTACACAAAAAACTTTTCTCCATACATTTTCAGAGTGCTGTTCTAAATGGCATCTTCTGTATCAGAAAAAAGTATGTCAAATAATTGTTCAGTTTTTTCCCAGAAATAAACAGCTTTCCTGGCACATTCCTAACTGCTGATTTTTGATTTTCTTTTTATCAATCTCTTCCAGAAAAACATTTACCCCTTTCCATTCCGTAATATACACTTAGTTGGATGAGTAGATTTTTAAAAGATGAGTACAGATTTGCATTTGAAAAAAAAGGGAGGGGAACTTTAAACCACATATATTTAATTTCACTTGATAAATCATTTTCTGTTAATCAATTGTTTTCTTCCAGTCTTTGGCAATCAATACCTCAGAAGGGAATTCTTCCTGACTATTTGTCTTCTATAAATCAAGTTTATTTGATGTATATACAATTACATTAATAAATCTTACCAAGTGAATATTGGTTATTTTTAGTTATTTCGTACTGAGATTTCAATAAATTTGATTGCATAAACTTAAGTGCATTTAATTAGCTTGTATACATCAAGTGTGTGGGTTGATATATGCAATTCAATATGCAAAAGACAAGAAAACAGCTTTCTCAAGATTGCACGAGGAGGATTTCAGAGTCTTACCCATTGCTCAATAAAGACCACTGAGTCTTACTTACTGCTCAGTAAAGAAATACAATTTAAATGACCCATGACGAACAGTCATTCTGCTTTTGCTTAACCTATCAACTGAAGAAGATCCCACATCCTCTTTGAATAACAGCACTGGTTCCAATGTCATAATAATTTCTGTTATTAAGGGCTTTTAAAAACAAAATGGAATCTGTCTTTCTAGAGCTTAAATCCATTAATCTGTGTCTCAAAGACTAGAAAATAAATTTGATTTTCAATGAAGTTCCTTCTTTGTTAATTGAAAAGTACTATTATATAAACCCATGGTCTTCTTGTTTTGAAGATATTCCAAACTCCTTCATTTTCTTTTCAGGGGAATATGCCTAACTCTATATTCTGGTTTTTCTGGAGGTCTTCCAGAACTTAGCTATCACAGGGATAGTCCACAATTTTCTCCTATGATTTAGTGTTTCTAGCCTGACATCCCTCCTTAAATCTGTTCCAGTTCTCTTCTGAATCCTTATTAAATTATGTCTAAAACTAGATATTCAAAGTAAGATATTCTGATACCTGTAGAATAAAATCAAACTATTATTCTCCACAGCTTGGCAACTGTCTAAAACTCATACATCCTCATCTAAAACTCCTCATACATATTCCTGACAAGCAAGGAAATCCAAGTCACTACCACCTAGGGTTCCCTTTATATAGGGATAGAGCATATGTAGAGACTTGATAGAAAATATCTTACTTGGTTATCACATAAAGTATTATCATATTTATTTGGTATGAAGGAAAACACCATTAAATGTTAGGTGACAATGGAATACTTATTAAGTGTCTTACGTTCTTGGAAAGATGTGAAGAGCATCTGGAATCGGCTATTTCGACTGCCTTCATCTGCCCACATGCGGATTACTCCAAGACCTGTACGCAGCATCACATCATTAGCAACAGTACTGCAAAACTTTGCTTTTAAATCCTCCACTGAGCTACTTCCATCATAGACAGCCACAAAGTTCCTTTTGCATTCATTAGAATTCTGCATTTCATAGTCCAAGAATCGTAAATATATCTATAAAAAAGAGAATAGTGAATATGACAACATAGACCAACACTTGCATTTCCACATCACTTTTTGCTTTTCAAAGAATCCAATGCTCTACAGCAAAACAGTGAACAATGATCATATTTATGTTCTTGAATGGTAGCATACCACAAGAAAACAGGATCATGAATGGAACTCAGAATCCTTTTTCTAACAATTTATTTGTCCTGGAAGAATTTTCTCAGGTATACTTATCACAAACTCATTATGATCAAGTCTAGGTATGTACATAACAATAATCAAAGGTCTTTATATTACTCAGAACAGAATAGGAAATGAGTATGGGTCTTCATAGAGTTTCACCGCATGTTACATTATTTACAGAAAAGGGAAAAACATAAGAAATATTTTGTCCTTTTTTCTTCTGTTTGTCTCAAAACTAGTAGATCAGTTGTTTTAAAATCCAGGAATGCTTAAGAGAAAAAAGGGTTTTGGCATTCGTTTCTTATTTCTTTAAGCAGTGAGAACATTACCTGCTTATTTTTAAATAATAAAATAAAACCATATAGAATTTGTTAACTTTTCTATAATTTAATTGTTAAATATCAAAACTCCTCTACAGGTGTTCTCTCTCTCTGCACTTGAAACTTTAATGGTCCAGAGCAATGCACAGCAGAATTGAGCAATGCCTAATCAGACCTAATGCAGTATCAGCAATTAAAATAATCAGTCCAAAATAATTTAGTAAATACCCTTGTGTCCAAAAGACAACTAATAGGCCACAGGTAAGCTTTTGAAGTTTGGGAAATAAGACATTCTTCCATTGAAAAAGAATGTCTTTTACTGCCTGCACGTTTAATTTCTTTATAATTACAATAATGACAAATAGTTTCTAACATGCTGGATAAAACACAAAAAAGGACAAAGGGCTATCTTATTTTGTTCATCTTCTTGATTATACTCAAAAATGTTTAGGATGATAAGAAGACAAAGAAATATACAACCTGATGGGGCAGAAGCAAGGGAGGTACAGCCCAACAGAACAAAGATGTTGCAAGGAAAATATTTTTTTCCTCTTATACTACATTGTAAATATCAAAATTTCATACACAAGGATCTAGCTCTTTCTAGAAACCAGTGGTTGTTCTACAGCTGCAGAAATACATGAATCTTTTTTTAAAAGAGTAATAAAATAAGCATGTCAATCCAAATTTTTGCCGCAGCCTTTATGCATCCAGACTCAAAGCGTCTAATAGATTTTGATATGTATTTGATATGCAGTATATTTAGAAAATAGATTTTAAATTTTTTGTTGGACTATTTCCAAAAGAACAAATTTATAGTACTTTATAAACTTTGGGTCCAACAACTGAGAAAGGTCTTTAGCTTTGAAGAACCTTAAATGATCAAGAAAATACTGTGCATTTCTAATTGAAAAGGAACTCAGTATTGCTGCAATACTGTGTCGATGCTATGAGGCCACATACTCAGTCCTACTTTTGGCTCCAAAAAAGATGAAAAATGACCCACAGATATTTGAAGTGAATGCTATTCTCAAGTCAATTTGTCCTAAAACAAATAGCAACATCTTCAAAATAAAACAGTATAATTTGCTGGATCATCAGACGTTTTAGGTGAGTGGAAATGTTGCAAAGTTTATTTTCTAATCAGTTAAGAAATTCAAAAGTGATGGAACCAAAATGTATTTTATTTCGGTCTTCTTGAACTAGGAATCATTGCTATCCACTGTGAATGCTGTACGTATACCTTGATATTAATAAAGCAAGACTGAAATTTTCTTCAGGTGGTCAAAACTATCATCTGTTGGCTGAATTCAGTGTTTGCTAATATATGAGTCCTTTTTCTCACACACACACACAAAAAGCAGAAAAGAGATGCAGAGATAATGATACTCCATATTCAAACTTGACAGAAAGACAGACAGCAGACAGCAGACAGACAGACACACATATAAAAAAAGGCATGGCTTTGATCATCCATTATACCTATCTGTAGATTACATTACAGTAAATAATGTGAATCTCACATATGACTAATCAAGTACAACTAATTCAAGTATTGTGGCATTTCTAGTAATTTTATTCTCCTGAGTAATTTCCTAATACATATACTACTTTACAAAGTAATCTAAATCACTTCTGACATTTCATAACTCTATTATACGTCTGCAACAAATACATTATACTTATGGCAATTGGTTACCTGACATAATTAAAACAGCCGTAACAACATTTAGCAAGGTTCAAAATCTTACAGAACTAAAAAAGGAAATATCTAAGCTAATTGGTTATCAACTCACTAATTCACTTCACTTTTAATCAAGTATGTCTCATTTATGTTTTAAAGTCATACAAGGTGAAAAGCTGCTCTGAGAAAGTGACAGAAATTTTAAAAATAAATTAGAATAAGATCATATGATTTTTTTTTTTTAAAAAAACACCCTATCTCATCTTGAAAGGTCATCCTGTCAACTTAAGAAACTACCTCTCTTCACTTCTGAGTAGATCAGCTCTAAATTTAGCTATTTTAGCACTTATAATGAGATGGAGATTAATTATCCAAATTCAAAAGTACTAGTTTCTCGAAAGAGATCTAAAAGCAGTTTGGTTTATAAATGGGATCGGTTTAAATAACGGTTGATCTAGTAATGCATGTAAAACAGTTTGCTAAAAGAGTTCAGTCTGAATGTCTATCTTTAAAAACCAATCCTTCCTTCTCTTTCGGTTCCTCTTATTTTGCTGAAGCCTGTAGAAGTATATACTTCTCATTTAGAGACCCGAAACGGGATGTTTTAAATATCAATACTTTTTCATTGGAGTTCTTTAGTGGGTTCTTAAGAATATTTTTCAGTCTTGATTTTATTTTCCAATTCCTTAGATAGAGACCATTTATCATTTACAAATAGAAAACAGGGCTTTAGGGAGTTTTACCCTGGTTTTACTCAAATACTAACGGCGTGTAGTGGGGCTCTTTAACTTTCCAGTCAAATAATTATTAGCTACTACTTCAAAGCAATCGTTGCTATATCCTATACAGCAGAGAAGTGGAAAATATTTTACTGTTATTGTTTCTTGGTCAATAAGTCAGCTTTTAAAAAGAAATATTTTGTGTTTCATCTCATTCCTATTTTTTTAACTAGGAAAAAAAGCAAGATTTAAGTTGCAATTCTTTGTATATTTGCATTATGATCAAGTTCCAAAAACTTAGAGAACTGGTAAAGAACATTTTCCCACTGGACAAGAAATGTAGAGAGTATGCTTTTCCTCACACATTAGTTAGAGAAAAGAAAGAGACTAAGGATGCATGTTTTTGCCATCAATTGAAGTGAAACCGAACAGTGGAGATCCATTTGTATCCATTTTATTTTGTTTAATTGTATCCTGCCTTTATTATTTTACAAATAACTCAAGGCTGCAAACATATCCAACACGCCCTTCCTCCTCCTTTCTTTCCTACAACAACATCTCTGTGAGATGGGAGTTGAGAGAAAGAGACTTGGTCCAAGATCATCCAGCTGGCTTTCATGGCTAAGGTGGGACTTGAACTCATGGTCTCTTGCTTTTTAGCCTGGTGCTTAACCACTAAATCAATAGTGAAGGATAACAAACTGATAACTGATACTCTTCTCTTAGGCTCATCACTGGAGCAGCCATATTATCTCTGTAACCATTGGGAAACAACACCGGCACAGAAAAAAGCACATAGGAGAAAATCTGCTTTTAAATTCATTTTTTTTAAAAAAAAAGGTAGAAGAAATCAATTATTATACAGATGAGGATTAGAGGTGCATCAATTTTGCAAAGTCTGTGTACAATAAATCTATTTGTTGCCATTGTTTTTGTATGAATGGAAACTGTATTTTTTATAGACAGAGGAAGTGAATTTAATTAATTTAAGGTTTTGTGTATTTTTATTAATTATATATATATATATATTTTACTTAATCCTTTGCCTCCTAAATGGTAATGGTTTGAGTTACTAAATGATAAAGTCTGAGTTCTAAGTGAACTCATCACCAATCCCCTTTTCTGGGATGCTGTCCAACTTTCAACTGCAGTCTGCAGTTCTGCTGTTCCCCAGAAGTCTCCTGTTGAAACTCTTCAGCAAGTAGTCTTCATCTACATAACAACCACATCCAAACAAGGTAAGCCAGATGTTGTCATCCCCTGACCCCCACCTCATTTTGTGAATGACTATTTCTTCACTGGGTCTATAAAATAACTTTAGCATTTTAAACAGACCCACTGATCCCCAAAGATCACTTACCCTGATTTTGGCATGATACAACCCCCTTGTAAATAATAGCTCAATTATGCTTTCAGTTTCAAGGCTCAGCCTCAAAGACTGCTATATGATGAAGTATAGTTATAAATATGTAGTAATTGCACACCTTCAGTGGAATCCTTTGATTATAAATAAAGGTTTATCTGCCTGGAGTACTAGAAGTTGTTTTTTTTTTTTAATTTGATTTATATGCCGCCCTTCTCCGGAGACTCAGGGTGGCTTACAGTGTGTTAAGCAATAGCCTTCATACTTTTGTATATTTTATACAAAGTCAGCTTATTGCCCCCACAAACTGGGTCCTCAATTTACCTACCTTAGAAAGGATGGAAGGCTGAGTCAACCTTAAGCCTGGCAAGATTCGAACTTACTTTAATTGCAGACAGCTGGTGTTAAATTACAGTGCCTTTGTCTGCAGAGCTATCCAGGCTCGTTTCATTCTCTTGTAAAATTTATCACTGTTTATAATTCCTTCTAATTTTTTTCTTGCATTTGCCTAAGGAGAGACTAGCCAAAGCATTTTGTTATGATAAAATAATGAGTCACCAAGTCTTATATATTAGTTCAAGATAAAATAATAAATAATAATATTATTTAAGATTAACATTGTAAGTAAGTATAATAGTAGTAATTACTATGTTAAGCTGTTGCATTAAAAACAGAGTTGATAGGATCACAATGACAACTCTTTTCTTCCATTGCTGTATTTTTAAAAAAATCCCATT